GATGGATGGATGGATGGATGGATGGATGGATGGATGATGGATGGATGATGGATGGATGATGGATGATGGATGATGGATGGATGGATGGATGGATGGATGATGGATGGATGGATGATGGATGATGGATGGATGGATGATGGATGGATGATGGATGATGGATGATGGATGGATGGATGTGAGATGGGCAGCAGGCCCAGGAGCCTCTGCAGACACCCAGGCAGGGACAGGACTGTGTGGGCAGGCAGGGCCCCACAGCTGCAGACAGAGGGACCACAGCAGAGGATTCCAGGGGGAAAGGTGAGATGAATGCATTCACCAAGGGGGTGAAGGGTGATGAACAAGAAATACCCAGCTTTGCCTGTCCTGCACAAAGACAAGAACCTCGTGGAGGCTGGGAATGGGAATGCTCTTTTCTCCCTCTCCAACCCTCCTCTGCTCACCATTTGGGCACTGAGGTTCAGGGCCAAGAGCTCAAACCACAAACAACAAAGGACAAGGAGAAAGGCAATAATGTGGAGGTGTTCCAGAGGGATAAACTGCCAGGGATAAAGAGCAGTGTGCTGGAAAAGAGGAGCTGGCACAGCTGGGTGGTGAGAGCTTTGGGGAAGAGATGGCACGAGGGAGAGACATGGATGAACAGGATCATCTCCTGAGGGCTCTCCCCTGCTACACCTGTGCCCTAAAGTGATGTCTGTAAGTACCTGAGCTTAGAACCTCATGTGCCTGAGACAGGGATAAAACTTGTCAGGTCTGAGCAGCCTGGGAAGGTGCAGAGATCTGGATGTGCCCTGGGCAGCTGGAAATCCATTTTGTTCACTGTGGAGAAGTTTCAGACAGAGAGATGTGCCCATGCTGCTCTTACTGCATGGAGAAAGGTATCTGAGCAGCAAAACCAGTCAAATGGCGGGAGGAACAGAGCCAAAGCTGCTCTGCTTTGCAGCTGGGGAGGCCAGCTCCTCGCTGTGCCTCAGGGCATCTCCCTGAGGAGCTGGGGGGGGGGGGGGCCCCTATCCCCACAATGTT